TGTTTGGTTCTCTTGTTAAAACTACTACTTGAAGACATCCTAAGTGCATCCTGGTTATCATTAAATATAGTTATTGTATAGAATTCATTATATAGCAATTGTTAAATTGACTAAGGAAACTTACTAAATATGCTATATCAGGTCTGGTTTATACTGCCAAATACATGAGCCCACCTATTAGTTTCGTATAAGGTATTTGACTATCACAATTTTTATTTCCTAAATTAATATTCAGTTTAGACTCTAAAGGTATATCAGCTAGCTTACAATTTGTCATGTTGAATCTTTTCAATAAATGATTAATATAATTAATTATCTTGGCTCAATGTAACAGCGCCACTTATTTTATCAATATTTTCAGTCATGCCTAAACAATTTTAAACTTGTCCTAAATCTTGAATAAAACTATTATTTACGGATTTTATCGCGTTTAATTACTTTAATTTATTTTTATTATTATCCCGACGTTTCGGGTGCTTTACAGCGCCCATGGTCACGGGGGGGACTGAGATGTTTGACGTCCCAATGTCATAGTTAGTCCGGCTACCTTCAGTTTTTTAATATTAATTTTTGGTCCGATTTACGCAAAACGAGCTCATAGTATCATGAAGTCTTGCAGTGGTATGCTTGGGTTTGGGTTTAATTTTGTTAATTAAAGGATCCCAAGCAGATGGTAGCACCCAACCATCTTCTCTATTGAAATTTGGATGTTTTTTAATTTCAATAGCCTCGCGTATCATCCTTGGTAGGAATCGGTGTTCTTTTGCGAGAATTTGTGGTTTATCAAATCTAATGTATCATCTTGTATGTAATGTAATATTCCTCTACAAGATGCAGGTGTGTACAAGCTAGATTGTGAATGTGGTCTCTCTTACATAGGTCAAACAAAGAGATCTATAAAAACCCGCGTGAAGGAACATATAGCTGATGTGAAGCACCGACGCTCCGGGAAGTCTGCAGTCTGCGAACATGTTCAAGATCGTCCCCACCATTACATTAGATTTGATAAACCACAAATTCTCGCAAAAAGAACACCGATTCCTACCAAGGATGATACGCGAGGCTATTGAAATTAAAAAACATCCAAATTTCAATAGAGAAGATGGTTGGGTGCTACCATCTGCTTGGGATCCTATAATTAACAAAATTAAACCCAAACCCAAGCATACCACTGCAAGACTTCATGATACTATGAGCTCGTTTTGCGTAATTCGGACCAAAAATTAATATTAAAAAACTGAAGGTAGCTGGACTAACTATGACATTGGGACGTCAAACATCTCAGCCCCCCGTGACCATGGGCGCTGTAAAGCACCCGAAACGTCGGGATAATAATAAAAATAAATTAAAGTAATTAAACGCGATAAAATCCGTAAATAATAGTTTTATTCAATGTGTAGTGTTCGCGTAAATTTAAGAAATCATTTTGTCCTAAATCTTTTAATTTGAACTTTGAAGACATTACCTTTTTTAAACTATTACTTTCAATATCATTGTTTGTAAACACAAAAAAATCATCGACATACAATGTTATTATTGTTCTCCTTTTATCCTTCATTTTAGCGTACAAACATGGTTCTAGCTTGGAGCGTTTAAAACATTGCCAACAAGACATTCATCAACTCTCTTGTACCAGGCTCTTGAAGATTGCTTTAAACCATAAATAGCTTTATTCAGTTTAAGTACTTTATTATTATAGTTATTTTGAGAATTTGATAAGCATTCTGGTATTTCCATATAAATTGTCTCCTCAAGGTCCCCATTCAAGAATGCTGTAGTGACATCAAGATGTGCAACATCTAAACCAAGTTTTACAGATAATGCAAACAATAATCTCAAAGTCGAATGCCTTACTACAGGCGAAAAGATCTCTGAGTAGACCACATTTTGCTTCTACATATAGCCCTTGGCTACTAAACGGGCACGATACCGAACACTATTATCACTGTTCATCTTTATATCTACTAGTTCCCACGCATGATTATCACCAAAACATTTAAGTTCTTCTTTCACTGCCTGTAACCACTGTCCCTTTTCTACTCCTTGTAGCGCTTCTTCCAGACATAATCTATTAGCATCATGAAAAAAAATCTTTCGAAATGCACATATTTGACATTCTATACCTTTCTGATTTCATTCCGATTCCACGGGGTCTGACACGCTGCTCCTGTGACTTATAAGCATCTTCATACTCACTAGGAACATAAATATCATTTGAGTTATCGGAAGTTTCTAGCAGTGTATCCTCATACATTCACTTATTCCATTTGAACTTGGTCTGTCCTTGACAATTGTGTTTGTTTCTCAACTTTTGCTTTAAAATCTGAAAAACATCGGAGTGCCTCACTTTTATATTTATTTAAATACACATGTATCATTCGACTAAAGTCGTCTATAAATAATATGAAGTACCTGGTACCTGCTAGTGATTCATGCTCCATAGGTTCACATATATCAGTGTGAACTAAATGCAGTAATTCTTTGCTTCTTAAACCTTCATTTGTGAACGGCAAACAACACTGTTTACCCTCACAACAAATTGTGCACTACATCTTGTCAATATCAATTTTTTCTTGGAGGTTTATTCCTTCTAGAGCACTTGTCATTTTATTTAGGTATTTACTATTAACATGGCTCAATCGGCGATGACAAGTAATCGCTGAGGCGTACAAATTACCAACCACAATATCAGGTACTATTAACTTGTACACTCCATTATTCAACACAGCGGTCGCCACCAATTCACTATTTCTATTGTATACTTCAAAGCCATTTGTCGTAAACTGAACTGTATTACCGGATTATATTAACTAGCTCACTGACAATAGGTTGGTAGTCAATCCTGGAGTGCATAATACATCCTTGACTGATATTTCAAATACACATTAATCAGTTTTTGTTACAATGATCACATCTCCAGAACATAATAATTGCAACAAAGTTGAATGATGATCTAAATCGCATAGCAGATTGGTCTGAAGCAAATACCTTAGTTTTAAATCCTAATAAATCAAAATACATGCTACTCGGTACTAAAGCACAAATCAGTAAAGTGTTAGCTGCCCACCCAATGGTAAAAATAAAAAATGTAAATGTTGAGCGTGTTAACGAGGCGAGAAACTTAGGAATAGTAATGGATGAGCAACTGAGGTTTGAAAAACAGATAATTAATACAGCTAAGAACTGCTTTTACCGGTTGAAAGTTTTGTACCAAATCAGAAATGTTTTATGCACCGAGGTACGTAAGAAATTATGCGAATCGTTAGTACTATCTAAATTTAACTACGCTGACGCGGTATTAGGGCCTAGACTTCTCGCGCGTTCAAGGAAACTTATCCAGCGTGTTCAAAATACATGTGCCCGCTTCTGTTAAACAATATTTCTCCACGTGCCCATGTAACACCTTATATTAACAACGCAAGAATGCTTAAAATGAATTACCGTTGGCAACTACATTTCGCCACATTATTGTTTGGCACAATCAAAACGAGAATTCCCTCCTATCTTTATAATAAGTTACAATGGGCACGAGACAATGCTACGAATTCGAAAAGAGCTTCGGCGTACAAGCTGCTCATACCCATACATCATTCTGCAGCATTCCGAGGGAGCTTCAGATATGCCGCAACTAAGTGCTGGAATAACCTTCCACCGCCTCTTCGAAACCTACAATCAGTGTATAGTTTTCGTACAAAATACAAAGCTATACTATTAAACGAACAGCTACAATCGTAGAGTATCAATTTAAAATTTTATGTTTTTATGCTTTAGCGTGTATATCTATGTATGTTCCGGTGCGTATAATTGTCTTTTTTTCCTTCATACGTCACGGGTGTACAATCTAATTACACTATTTTCTTTCCATTGCGCGCCTAGTGTTAGCGCAGGTTCTGTGATAAAACATGCTAAATGGATGCGGTGACATGTAATGTTGAACATATGTCTCGGGTTGCTATTGTGTATGAGTGTTTTTATATGAAATTTAAATTATTTTTATATCCTCGGTTCCAGGTATGCAATGAAATTAACATTCGTAAACGTCCGGTATAGCCTCCTGACCCAGAACTTTTTGAGTTCAAAAATTTAATAAAAATCAGATCAGTGAGCTATATTATTGTTATGAATACCTGGAAAAATAAAATAAAAAATCTTTAGTGTTTCTCAATTACTACTGAAATAAAACTCGAATTGAACTACATTTAGACAGTTTATTACAACATTTATGGATATATTGAAATAAATTCAGAAAATTTTACATAAAAATTTTTAGGTAAAATATTCTGCTATCAGATCTGGAAATGTCGTATCCCCTTGATAAATCACCATAATGCAATTTCATAGTTTCAGAGGGGTTGTCAAGCACAAATACCTTAATACCAACGGGATTAGGCTTTCCTGGACGGTATTGACGTATACCGCAATGGCCACTAAATGGTATAATTATTTCGTCTATGCTGATGTTATCCTTTCTTGGCTGAGCGCTACAACCGCGAAGAACAACATCGAACAATGGTGCAACGTTCCATATTTTATTCTTTTTTTCTTCTTCTGAAACATCGTCATCGTATACTATCTTCAAAGAAGTTCTGTTTTGACCAATACTGTCTAATCTGTGGCAAGCTAATAGCACCCATGACTAATAGTATTCCTATAAAAAATTTTACCTCTTTCAGTGCAATTTTCAGTTATTTACCTGTTTTTGAAAAGTTAGACTGGTTAGTAGCAACCACAATCTTCTCGAAAATATCATTATCAATGTAATGTTTAAAAAAGTCTTCTGGCGACCACAACTTCTTGTCCACTAAAACATATCTTGGTTGAAACAATGATCGCTCCAAAGGAGAAAAATCTCCATTCCAGTTATTGTCCGTTGATTGCGCAGTAGAATTGCGAATACTAATACTCCGTCCTCCTCTTGTTATTACACCCCTCTTTTGTCATGAACGACCTCCTCGTGTTCTAGCTCCAACTCTAGTTGTAGAACACCATCGACAGAATGACTATGACGTAGAAATTTCTGACGAAGGCCGAGATTTGCTTTCAAATTCTGAAGGAGAACCTGAATCAGAATCACTTAGACTAGACTCTCTCACAGGAGGTGACTCTTCTGACTGTTTACCGTCATCGTCGTCTGAAAAAATATCCAGGTCCGAATCTTCGAGGGCATCGGTAATGTATGCAACTTTCAAAACTGAAAAATAAGTCAATAAATGTAACAAAAATAAATGAAATCTCCTAATGGTGTATAAGTGTTACATCGGGACTTCGAGCATGTAGGTACGGAATTAAGAACCGATGTAGTAAATATACAACGTAGGTAGTAAATTTAAAATATACCATAAATAACTATCGCAATCTGTCAAATATTGTTTGTATTACAAAGAATACTATTTGGATTATAGTTTCACACCAAAAAAAATAATGTAAATACTATAGATTTGCACAAAATTTAAAGATTTTTTTATTTACTTCGCCACCGTTGTTCTGCCATCTTTCGCAACTAGTAGACTGATGTCAAAAAATATGAGAAGTTGCAAAAAAAATTACTGCTTTAATTATTCAAGCAACATGTCTTCTGTGGTATAATTACAAAATTTTGACTATAATTCAACAGATGGAGGTGTAATGAATTTTTATTTTTTATGTTGTATATATACTACTGTGAGCCTCAGGAGGGTAGTACTACAAAGATAAGGCAGTTGTGGCCCAATAAAAAGAATATTAAAAACCTACCAATTGTGTATATAATTGTATTATTAATCCAAATAAGTATATATTATACGTGCCCATGTGTGTATGTGTATGTGTGTTATCCGTATGTATATATTTATGTATATATGTATGTATGTGTATATATCTGTGTATATGTACGTGTATATGTGTATGTATGTATAAATATATATGTATATGTATGTGTATGTATATGTATATATGTATATTATATATTATATGTGTGTGTATCTATTTAATGTACTTAAGGTAGCCACTGAAAATCAGGGCTAGGATGATACATCGTTTCCTGAGTGGCAGTCCTATTTGGACCATTTACAATTTAAAAAAAAACTTTTTTTTTTAATTTAGCTCATCCTTTTTTTTTAAGTTTGTGTAAGTAAGTGTATAATTAAGTCTAATTATAAGAATACTTAAACATAATGTATGTTTTAAGTGTTTATTGCAAATTTTTTAAGAAATGGCCAAATAAATATATAAATATGCCAAATAAATAAATATTCGTGAGATAAACTAAAAAATTCAGAATAACATTTTATTTAGTGGTCTTTATATTAGCATCTGTCTATCAAATTTGTGGTTATTATATCTTTATTACCTATTTGTTTATGTATCGTAATTTGATAAAGGTTTCGACATTCGACAGTTTTTGTTAGTGTAATATGATTGTCAGTTAGATATTTAATTGTTAACACATTAATCGCCGTGGGGGTCACCGGTGACCGGCATCATACCCTTCTCTTGGAGCCATGGGGTCACCGGTGACCGGTAAGGAAGACTAGTTTTTGAAACGTTGCTGAGAGCCGGCGGTCACTGGTAACTGGCGTTTTACAGTACGTTATGACCCGCGCGGCGCCCAGGAATATTTTTGAGTGCTTGGTTTCTAAATTTTTATAAGTTTTCAAGTAAATTTTCGTAAAAATTGAATGGAAATAAATGAAAAATGTATTTTATTTTTATATTTAATTAAATTAAAAAAAAGCATTATATTTATCAAGAAATAGGTGCTTAGACATTAAAAAAATTATATAATAGTATTGAAAACTTAACAAAAGTCAAAACTTTTTTAAACTTCCTTGGCTAACAAACAACGAAAATACACTTCTGTTCTTCAATAATTATTATGTAAAGAAACAAGCTAAGGAAAAACAGATGGACAACAAGAAAGTAATTTTATCGGGTTGTTTTCAGTCAAATTAACAATCATCTAATAATAACGATGTTCCCTGTTGAAACAGGTCAAGCAATAATGTGGCTGTGACGGACAGTCGGGGCAAAAAGTGGCTACTTTTTTAGTTTTGTTTTTAGCAATGTTCCTGCCTATGTTTTGAACATTTATTTTGTAGCACCCCTGACACCATCTTCTTGTTGTGCGAACTTTGCCTTCTTTTGTTTTTAGTTCGTGTTTTAATCTTTTAGGATGTTTCGAAGCACTTTCTGACATTTCTTTATCCTCATCAGCTTTTACAAGAATATCTCACAATTGCTTTACGAAACTGAACGACAGAAATGTTCTTTTTCGTGGTTTGTTTATACAGAACCATGGCATTTACCATAGCTGTGTTGAGTAGCAGTTCGCAAGCTAACTTTCGATACCACTTGACAGTTTTCCGTAATGGCGACGAATAAGCTGTCATTTGATCTGACAGGTCAACTGCAGATTTCGCTTTATTATAGTCGACAACTATCTGTGGCTTTCTTTTTGACTGTCCTCTTTTATTTGTGGTAGTGACGAATTTTGTGGTATGTTTAGTAGACAACAAGGACACATCTCTCTTATCACGCCATTTCATCACAATGATCCCTTTGTCATTTTCAGCTGCACTGTATTCTCCTGGTTTTAATTTTGCATTCATAACATCTTTCGGTAATTTTTTTCTATTCTTGCGCAACGTTCCGACCAAATGCATTTCTTCCAGTAATAGTTTTTCAGCCAAATCAATACTTGTGTACCAATTATCCGTGTACAGTACTGTCCTTTTTGGAACAAGTGTCAACAAAGTGACATAACAACCTGAGTCGGTGTAGTGTTTGTTGTATCGCAGTGTTTTCCAGCATAGACTTCCAGCTTGCACGTGTAACCCGGAACTGTACATAACTTAAATATTTTAATGCCGTACTTATGTCTTTTTTGTTTTAAATATTGTCTAAAAATTATTCTCCCGCGAAAAGGTATCATACTTTCATCAACACATAGGGAAATATCCGGAGTAAAATGTGCTCTAAAGTTCACATTCAGTTCGTCAACGAGGGATCTGATTTTGTACAAGCGGTCATGTGACGTAGCCTAGGTATTATCAGAAAAATGAAGCATGCGTAAAAGCAATTCAAATCTATTACGACTCATTCTTTTTTTAGCATATTGTTGTCCGAACATATAGTCATTTGACCAATAGTCACTCAGTTTTGGTAGTCGCACAAGCCCCATGTACATGATGAGGCCAAACAATTTTTTTATTTCACTTTTGTTTGTGTCTGTCCAGTTTTTCAATCGCGAAACTCTTTTTATCGTGTCTTTCGATATAAGTTGTTGGGCACATATATTAGTTTCTCTCGCTATACGTTCAAAAATATCGTCAGGTACCATCAAGCTATAAAAATCACTTGGACCAGAACATGACAAGCTATGGCGTAAAGAAAAAGGCTTCAAACCTGGCGTTTCCGTAAAAGGTATTATTTTCGGTTGATTACCAGATGGAGAGTACCAGTTTCCCGTAGATGACGTAGAATTGCGAGGCGATGGCTGTATTATTTCATCCTCACTTTCAGTTTCAGACACAATGCGGTGACGTTTTCTATTACGCACTGGTTGTAATCATCCTCATTATCAGAATCGGAACTAATATCAGGAATATATGGAAAAGCAAAATCCACATTTTCACACACAGTAATCGGCACAATATCGTCATTTTTCTTAGTAATTTCTAATTCCAAATGGTCCAAATACGACAGATCGTCCTGTGTCAACTCAAAGTTATCAAATTCCATTATACGAACACAAGGAACTAAATACTTGTAAAAGATAATAATTTGCGCACTCGTAATTTAAATAAACAACACGCTGCACTTCCGTAAACATACTAAACCATGGTCACGCGCGATCACGCTAGCCGCTCCGTCCCGCCAATCAGAGAAAGGGGTGAGAAAGAGACAGGTGACCGGCGAAATGACCCGCGCGGCGCTGTGAAGCAAATTTCAATCTGTACGCCGCGACGGCCACCGGTGAACGCAAACAAAAAAACCCTTATAATTTCCAAAATAAGCACATAATAAAAAAATGTGTACATATATATCAGAGCATATACTAAATGGCCCAAATGGAATATATAGGTCAAAATTAGCTCGGCAATTAAAGTGTTAACATGGACGAGTAACTAGTCCGTGATTGTTAATATATATATATATATATATATATATATATATATATATATATATATATATATATATATATATCGCTCATTTGGAGCGACAGTGACATAACTGCAAATTTGTAAAATTTACACTACGCCAGTTTTAAGATATTTTCGTATCACCATTGAAGATTCCTCACTTTTCTTACAGTTACTGACTCTTTATCTATTTTATTATTGTAGTTTGAACTCTGGGCTTGAAAACAGACACATTTATTTTTTATATTCTTATCCAAAATAATGAAAAATAAATAAAAAAAACATTTTAACACTTACAGTTGCGTCGCTGTTACCCTAGGCAAAGAAAGCTCGGGTAGTTATGACCTTTGTTGTCTCTTATAAAATAAAACCAATATCGTTCCAATCAACACATTTTGTATTATTTAAATAAAAATTAACAACGGCAGTCAGTGGTGACATAGTTATGCCTCTTAGTATGAATCATTTGTAGATGACCTTCATCTTAATTACACTTTAATAGGAACTATTCAATACGAAATTAAACAATATAGTAGGTATATATAAGATTAGTTTTTAACCCTCTTAATAACTGCTATCTAATATGGCACAGAAAAATCAGCTGCTTATAACAATATTCTTAAAATCTAAAACCCTGCACATTTAAAAAGTTATTCTTAAAAGTCAGTTTTAAAAGATCAATAGAATATTAGAACAATTTTTAAACATTTCAGTCTTACGTTCATTTCATTAGTCATACTATTTACATAAAAAATTAAAACTTAATAAAAACAATAAAAAAATTGTACCTACTCAGGTGACTTAAAACAAACTCTCGTAAAATCCAGAATAGCACCTGGGAACAATGTTTTTTTCTAACAAAGTACGCAAATCCTGCTTTTTTGATCAGAAATCGTAAGTTTTGAATTGTAAGCTGCTCTCAAACTTATTTCAGTAATATTTAAGTTATTATCGGACCGATTTTTTCGAGTATTCGTAGATGTTTTTGATTTGACAGTTATCCATTCACCCTCGTAAGAATATTTTAAATCGTAAGTCTCACTATTTTTAACAAACCGTAAATGAAATCTCATTTCAGATAGTTTTATCTGGTTACCTTGCAGATCTTTGTTAACATTTAGTGTAATATCTTCAAATAGCTTTTTTAAATCATAAAAATCGTCATAGTTAAGCTCGTTTACTACAAAAGCATTTCCAGTTTTCTTGGTGTTGCGTATAAGTTGCACGTACTGGTATGGAATATAGATAGGACCTGACTTTTTTGCTCTTTTAATTGACTTTTCGATTAGCGAATGAGCATTTTCGCCCTCATTTTGAATGTGCCCACGTATCAAAAATTTATGTGTGATTGAATTTATTGGAAGAGTTTCAACCGCATAGTAATACATGCCAAGCAGGAATCTGAAAAATTAAAATATAACTTAAATACAGAAAAATGGTTAATTTTAATTCTGTTTTTGTGCTAAAATAATGACCATAAATGTACCTATTTTTTTGCTGACCACAGCAGTTGTCAGAATAAAATATTATATTGCTATTGGCATGACGCTCTGCAGTCTCTTTCAGAAATTTGAACACACAAGAACCAATTTCTATAGCTCCTCTATTGCCAAGACCCTCGTGCCAGAAATAGCAATTTGTTACGCTATCTTTTAAGTTTGTAACCTGTCAAAAATTTAATATCAGTTTTTTAAGCTACATACTCGTTAATTCCAAAGGAAGTAAATTACTTACCGTAAAGTTAAGGCAGTTCAACTTTGATTTGTAAAAAAAGCTGAACTATTACCGATAGATACAGGCATAACTGTAAATCGTATATTGCAACGATATTGTTATCTTCTTTTACTAACTAAATATCCTTAGTTTTCTCTTTCCTACTTAAATCTTTTTGTTTTAAATGCTCTTCATATGCTTCTTTTAATTTGAGTTGGTCTTCCCCGACAGCATTTTTATAAGACTCGCAGAGATCACACTGATCTTTTTTGGGTACAAAAAATGATAGGTTAAATTCAGTGTTGAAAATTTGGTAATACGTGTCAAAAGTTGCCGATGGCATCGTTCCTCTACTAGATACGTAATTTCGATTTCTTAACGGTAAGACCGCCATCAATAAATTCACGAGTTGTGTTAGCTCGAGTATAGTGGCTCTCAATTCTAGGGACGGAATTAATGTGATCGCGAACGGATCGCATGATTTCTGGGTTTACTTGATTATGATGAGCATGCTTGCCACGCTTGTCCTCAGGGATTACACCCGTACCAGAACTGTTTTTACCTTCAATAACCGTTCGTAATGTTCTCTCTGATATACCCAAAGTATTTAAAAAAAAAAGTTTTGCACGTCCGCTTAGTTTCACCATTCACCGTGAAATTAAAAACACAATTTTGGTTCCTAGTTTTGGCAGCTCCTTCTTTTACTCGACGGTAGGGAACTTTCAAAGTTGTTAAACAGGAGTTCAAAAAATCACGCTGTCTTTGTAGTGATCCCAAGCCCCAATAACATTCAAATATCTCCTGTCTTTGTTCCTCCGTTATTTTATTACGACATTTGAGCCTACATTTTTCTGTGCAAGGTGGTTTAATAGATTTTGCTGCAACAGTTTTGCCAGTTCTAGATACGTATTGTTTTCCAGAATTTCACTGACGTTTTCGTACATTTTTTATCCATGCAGATTCATTACGAACTCTCTTCTTGCCTCTCTTGGCAACTGCAGTCTCGGAAGTCTCGGTATCTATAAAATTGGAATTTCTGACAGAATCATGAGTAATCGATGTTGATGGTGAGCTAGAAGTAGTACCAGATGAACTAGACGATGAAGTTGAGCATGAAGAGCTCGAAGATGAGCTAGATGACGTGAATTAATACGGTTGGGTTGTACAGATTTCTCTGGCTTATATTCATCACCACTATCGTCTGGAGAAAAGTCTTTAGTTTCGTCTTCACTGTCGTTTTCGTTGTTTTCTAGGAGGATTGGTGACGGATCCACCTTATTTAGAGAAGAAATAACATTTTCTGTCACAATCGATGCTAAAATAAACAAACAATAATTTAAATAAAATAGTTAATCCGAATACAACTACAACAATGTACAATCACAAGAGTATACCTTTGCAAATAAACGTAAGTAATGTAGAAAAAACCGACTTACGTTGACTAGAGCAAGCAGTATCAATGTTTGAAAAACTGTTGCTGACGTCTTGGTTGTGTTCTGCAGAAAATATCTCTGTAATTTAGCAAAGAAATGTTAAAACTCGACAAACATTATTATTAAAACCAACAAAAATTTTAACGTACTGAGTATTTATTTACCATTTGCACTAGTAGAAATAACAGTTTTTGAAGGAAGAGATTGGTCCCCAATACTATCAAACTTTGAACATTCTTGCTCACAAAGTTTGACTAACATTCGTGCTCGACTTCCCATTTTGATAGCTTAAAATGTATAACAAATTAACATAATTAAATTTGGTCTAAAATTATTACAATTAGTCATAATTGTTATTGGTAAAAAGGCATTACAGTACAATAATGGCGTATTTATATTTACGTCTAAAAAAATACCGAATATTTGGTGATACAACGGCGCAATTGTATAATACGACATTGTATCCACAAAACTGTTTTCATTTCTAGTTGATATTGTCAGAAAATACAATTGCGTCGTTGTAACACCGATGTTTAATAGCAAAATTTGTCATATTTACCTTAGCGCCGATGTAATTCCCTGACACATGCACACTTAACGGAGCGCCCCGCACAACTGACTGTTCGGTCGTTATCGCCCGGTATTCGCGCGCCAAAATGTAATATTTCAACAACGTCTTTTACCTTCTAGCGGGAGTTTTTTTTTAAATAACAAATGCGGTGTTTTAACTCCATAACGTAGATAGGTATGGAGATAGTTTTGGTGTAATTAGGTCAGATTCACCTTTTTTTGCAGTTATGTCACTGTCGCTCCAAATGAGCGATATATATATATATATATATATATATATATATATATATATATATATATATATATATAATGAAATTTTTAGAGCAGTAATGGAATTTAAGTTATGTAGTGTAAAGTAAAGTTTGATTCGTATGTTTTGTAACTAGGACTAAAACTAACCCGGACTAGAATTTATGGATTTTCGGCATGAAGGCCTCGGCAAAGCATCGTCTAATGCAAGCGATCAAATGGTCTGTATAAAAAAATTAGAAGGAATTGATTTTATTATTGAATAGAGATGGTAGACCTTAGATTTATCAAACGCTATTTATACAAAACTTGAACACTTTAGTGGAAAATGCTATATCTATCCTTAAATTGCCTGTCGTCGGGATGTAACAACGGATGAAAATATGCACAAGCTCTTGCTTTAACACTGGCGTTATAATAGCAGTCATCTATAATTATTACTTATTTATAGGGTAAGGTTTACAATTCGGTCGCCTGAATTAGGGGTTGGGGGGTGGTGTGGGGGGAGGGGGAGGAGTTGTAGAGTCACCCCTACTTCCACTTTCTGCCGGAAGTGCTTTGTTTTTTTTTTATAAATATTTAAAAATCTCATTTTGAGGTTATGATTCGTAATTTTTATAACAATTTTAAGCTGATTTATGGGGAGAGAGAATTGGGGAACGGAAGCCCCACGCCACTTAACGTGGTGCAGTCGACGGAAGGCCGGTCGACGGAGCCCAGCTTTGCGGGGCTCCTACTTCTGAGTAGTTTACAAAAAAATAACCACGAAGAGGATAACGGGGTCTCTTTGCTCGCTTCGCTCTCTCACTCGACCCCGTCATCCTCTTCTAACCTAACCTGTCCAAGTCGGGATAATCCACGTCCCAGGCTCGCTTCGCTCGCTATTGCACTCGATATAACACCAAAATATTAACTTTTATAACTACTTTAATTTATAAACTTAAAAATTAACTCTTCAACAATTATTCTCACTCTTCCATGTCACTGTCAAAATCTATGTGAAAACTTTTTCGATAGTGACGGCGTATAGTTTGCATAAGTTACGTCTCGAACGATCAAAATTGTCGCTTACACTCGCAAAATACTTAAAACAACCAATCACGAGCGTTAACGTTCTCACTGTCGAATGTGGGCCAATGCTCGATGGTCGATATCGACCACGTAGTAAGCTCGCACTCAGGAATATTGTTCCAAATTACTGTCACTAGTTGGCGCTTTTTAATTCCATACAAATTGTAGTTAACTTTATCGCTATCGAACGCGTAAAAACTCGCACTAGGCACACTGAATCAATGTACCAGTCATATTTGTTGAATTTGCCACTCAGACACGCTGCACTAAACGTATTACTTTGTTTACGTTGTATTGCTTTTGTGTTCGAACTGGTATTATCACTATTTGAACACTGATTCTTGTAATGACCAGGCTGTTTATACCGGTAGTTGTTGTTGTTGTTGTTGTTTTTATTATTGGCTCTACCACGTAAAAAAATTGTGCATTATTTGGATATGAAATAATCAAATATCGTTAGTTTCTTTGATTTTTCAAAAAATATCTTCAAGTTTTTAGTACAAAATATAACCTAGATCACTCCTGGCATCGCTTTCTAGTTTAGTTTAGTTTAGTTTACGACGGGCTGTTTTCCGCAACTCCACGTCTAAGCGCATATTTTGCGTGTGGGCAGGAATAATGTGATTATTCGTGCCATGATATCTCCCCGAAGAAGCTCAGCAGTCCCTTGATGTTGCAAGCAACTTCGGGGAGCGATCCCGGCGTGCCAAGATGTTTAGCCCTGTATGAAACGACTTCTGGACATGTCAGCAACACGTGAGCCGCCGTTTCTTCCTCTCCCATGCATGCCCTGCACAGGGGGCTATCAGTAACACCTATGGTGAACAAATGTTTGTTAAAAGAGCCATGTCCTGTGATAGCACTTGTTACTATCCTGATCTGTGGCTTGTTCAGTTTCATTAGAACCTTGGTTAGACGACTGTTTATTTCAGGTAGGGCCTCCCTAGCTTGTCTACAGTTTACTAAATTTTTCCAAAGCTGAGCGTGTAAATTATTGAAGTATCTACGTACCAGTGAACGAACGTAGCAAAGAGGATTGGTATTATTTGTTCCGGCCCTATAGTTGCTAGGGCCGATCCCCTTCTGGCCAGTTCATCTGCTGCATCGTTGCCTCTAGATTCACTGTGTCCCTTGATCCATTGCAGAGTCACATTGTTGTGCTTACATACCTCATTCAATCGTTGATGGCACTCGTATATCAGTCCCGAGTTCGTCACATTGCAACTCAGAGCTTGTAGTACCGCCATACTGTCGGTCAGTATTCTGATGGAGAAGTCTTTCACCTTCCTAAGATCTATTGCTATGGCCGCTTGGATGATACGCATGCATTCGGCCTGGATGACTGTGTTGTGGGTACCCAGCGGTGTGCATATGTGGATATTAAGGTCTTCAGAGAAAGCCCCAGACCCCACACCTTCATTTGTCTTAGAGCCATACGTGAAAACTTTGAGCTCTCTTGGACCCAATCCTTCCAGATGGTCAGTTTCCTTCAATTGTATCCTGTACTTCTTATCAAATACAAATTGTTTTGGGATCCTATCATACTTGGCTTGTAAGATAGGAATTTTTGAGTAAATTCTATCGATTATATCTGTATGGGGGACTCTACTCTTACTTAAAAGATTTAGGGTCTTGAGTCTAATGGCAGCTAAAGTTGCTTCTTGTTGTATATATAGATGAAGCGGTGTTAGCTCCAGCATAGCCTCCAAAGCTGCTGATGGTGTTGTCCTTATGCAGCCCGTGGTAGTCATACAAGCTAATCTCTGGTAACGCTGTAGCTTTTGAATAGTGGTGGCTTCATTGGTTTTGGTCCACCATACCAGAGAGCCGTATGTGATCATGGGCCGAATTACAGTTTTGTACAGCCACAGTATAACTTTTGGCGTTAAACCCCATCGTTTGCCAATCATGTTTCTGCACTGCCAGAAAGTTAAACTAGCTTTGCTGATTTTGTTTTCTGTTTGTGTGTACTTTGTGGCATTCCTTGGGGAACTGTGCAGCAGTGGACTTGTGAAAGGCTATAAGGATGTCAACTTTGAGTCTTCAGTACTATTACATTTAGGCTTGAAATTGAATCCGTTCCTGCGTATGATTCTGAAGTTTATTATTGTCTTTTAGAATTGGGTCTTACGCGAGTTCGTTTCGCATTTGTTTGTGATTCCCCAATCTTAAAAAGTGAAAGAAAAAAGTTCTGATTGATGGTAACGTGAGAAAATGATTTCGATGAGCAATATAGTTGTTGTGGCTTCGGAACAGTCCCGATATAACATCCTTTTCCTAAGTGTTTCCTATCCTCCCGCCTCCCCCGTATACGCACTGCTCAGAATGGTGCGCCACCTATCGTCGAGAAAAAAAAGAGAAGCAAGACGGCCGCGCACGCATAAAACGGGTTCGTTACCGCTTGTTTAACCCTTTAATGCGCAGAAAAATAAAAGTTATGTAAACATGTTTTTTTCTGTTTAATTGCATTAATGTTGACTAATTATAGCCAAAAAAAATAGAAATTATTATTATTATTGTATACTTTATCAAATATCGTATGTTAAAAATACTCAACATTGCGCGACATATTGGAACATTACCTAATAAATTGAGCGTTGAGTATTTTCAACATTGCCCTTGTAAAGGTAGTTTACTAATATATTAAAATAAAAAGAACAAACTATAGAGAAAATCAAGTAAAGTTTTATTTCTTATTAATTAATCATAGAATAAGTTGGCTAGACACAGCCTTAGTAGAAAAAATCAAATTCACATATTATTACTTAACATGGTAATTATAAAAACAGTTTCTCTTACTAACTAGACACAGCCTGAGGATACATTTTGAGCAAGTAATATTTGTGTACCCATTTTTTACAGTATTTGCACCGTCCATACGACACAAACATGGGTAAATGTCCATTGTTGTCATATCGTACAGCATCAGTCGGTCTTGGAGCAGCTGGAGTAATTATTTTTTTTAGGAGGATCGTTTTCCTGACTCACTGTCACCCTCGTTCTGTTTTTATGTAAAAGCTCAGATACTATCTGTATCCGAAATTTTTTGAGAGGTAAACGGTCTTTAGGATCAGCATGATCTCTCCTATGTAATAACCAAGCATTGTTGAAGCAAATATCCAGAGATTGTGAAAACATGGTCATGTACCACCTCTTAGTTTTAAAGTTTGAACGGTATAGAGCGATAAGCATGTCCGCCAAGTCTACGCCCCCCATATGGGCATTATATTGCTTCACAATCTGAGGACAATTGACCTCCACCCTAGATTCTGTATCTTTGGAATACCTTTGAATCTTTCCCATTGGATGGGAATCGACGAATGAACTAGCCAATGTCACCGGCTTATTGTCATACCATCTGACAACAGCAAGTTTCGTGTCATTGCAGACGATCTGGGAGCTTGCACCCCGTCCTTTTTTTGCGAGAACTTTATCTGCTAGTAGTTTATTTTGACAACCTCTCAAACGATTACTTTTTATGGTACCAAGACTAAAAATACCGTATTCTTGACGCAAATGGTGAATTAGCTCCAATGACGTAAAGAAATTGTCAAAATATACGACTGCAGGTTTATCCTCAATGGTCTTGCAAAGTGCTAGCACAACTTTTGCTCCAAGACCGAGGCTCTCCTCGTATTCAGTAAAAGAATGATTTCTAAACGTGTCTTCTCCACCATAAGGAATGAAATCATACACTAAACCAGAGACGCCTGCTCGAACGAATAACTTCATCCCCCATTTTTTTGGTTTTTTAGGTAGATATTGGCGCCTACTTCCCGCTCTTGTCCCTTTGTATGGGACCATCATTTCGTCGACGCTGTAGCGTTGTTCCTCCTTCATTTTTAAGCAATTAAGCCTAATTTTTTCAATAATTGGTCGAACTTTGTAGTAACGGTCGTCGTTAATGTTGCTGTTGTCGGCGAAATGTAAATATTTCCTTATTTTCTCATACTTTTTTAAAGGCATGATATCAGCGACAGCTGGATATCGCAAAAATCGACTCCAATAATCTCTGTAAGAGGGCATTTTCACTACCCCCATAATGAGTGTAATCGCTATGAAATCTTTCACATCATCGTTTGTTATATTTATAGATCTCGAATCGGTTTGAACTGAATATAAGTTTGTCTGTTCTACTATTAATTCGAATATGTCATTTGAAAAAAAAGTCAGTGAAATAATCTAAGATTGAATGATGTGGATCGGGTGAGAAATCGTGTTTCGGTGGTTCAAATATAGCTGCGTACTGTAGTTTTCCTGCTCTGAATTTGAATGATAGAGGTTTTCTTACAAACTTCTTTACTTTTTTTGCCGCTGGGTGTTTAGGTTTTGTGTTCTGTCGTCGCTTTGAACGTGTATTAGGTGCTGCTGGAGACATGTTAGGTGATAATACTGATGAGACCGAATTCAGTGTGAATGGGAGCGGCTGATTTGACGGGCCTGGTGAAAACATTTGGTTAATTAAAGGAGACAAGGGAATTGTTGGTATGTGGAGTATGGAATCATTCATTATATCTTGTGGCATCGACGCAGACGAAATCGGAGTTTGGACTTCAGAACATGGTACTTCAGGTATGTTGCAATCATTTTGTTGAGGCGGAGTTGGCGATGGAGGCGTCGTCGGACGAGAATTTTCTTTGGAATTGGGTAAGTATGACTTGCTTTCATTTTGTAGCTGTAGTGGCCTAGGTGATGGCGTCGCAGGAATCTCATCTTCGGAATGTGAATCTAAGCTTAAGTCATCAATTTCAGAGGGATAAGAACGTGGTTCAGATGTTTCGTAGTTGTGTTCTGAGTCAGATGATTGTTGTTTTTTCGGTTTTGTGTAATTATTGATTATAACTTCATCTTCAGATGTGCTGCTGTCATCGGAGGGTGCTTTTGCGGGAGGTACAAGCGCCATAATTTTTTGCGTGCGTTGCCATTTAAGCATTTTCTGAAGCAAAATAACACAAAAAACGTAGGGCATCCAAAACCAAAGCGAAAAATGAACAATAATAGGGTCTCAGATAAGAGGGGAATAAATGTTAGTACACGCGCAATGTTGAATATACTCATCATGTTAAGTTATAGGACAAAACCTAAAGCATTTCGCAATGTTGAAAATACTCAACATAGAAAAAATCAGGTGAATAATAGTAACATTCGCATTGTTGAGTATATTCAACATTCAACTTGAAAACCATCAAACACATACTAAACCACAATATTTTCAGGCTTTTTTTCATTACGTGCATAAAATAATAATTTAAAATTGAAATGCAAGGCAATAATAGGTATCAATATGATTTAAATTGCTAATAATAAATTTTATTTACCTTAGGTCCAAACGGTGCAGATGAACGTGATGCCATTTTGCCGCCACTGTCAAAATCTGACGTTTGTGACACACAACTTTCTTTTTTACGAGTTGCGTTTCGTTTCACCTTTTTTTCAAAGTAAAAATATTTTTTCTACGCGTTCAAGTTTTCATACAGGATTTATTTATTTCGAATGTTGAGTATTCTCAACTTTACGAATTAAAGGGTTAAAAATAACCAATAAATAAGTTGTAAGACTATCGTGCAATTGCTCGTGTCCATATACATTCGAAGTGCAGTGTGGTATCTGTGTATACACTTCACCATAACCACGATGAGTGCTCCAGACTTGTGAGTATCCTTACCTTATCTACCCAGTTCTAAAGCTATTTTCGTTTACTTCCCGGTTGGGATCATCGGGTTAGCCAGCCCTTGGTCTGGTTGTTCTCTGGTTCCCAAAACCACCCACGAAACACATTGCGAAACATTCAAGCCGTAACATAATTTCTGGTCCATACGATCCGGGTACCTATGGATTTCTATATTTATACAGTCCGCTCCTCATAAAGATAATATCAAGTTCAATTTCTAAGGAAAACTTTGATATTTAATCTATTTTTCTTATAATTGAAAGTAACTAATTCATTTCAATTATAATCCTGCTAGACTTGAATGCTCGTGAAGTGTTTCGTATTGCTCAGACTTTGCAGACTTATCTTATTTGGTTGCGTTATAATTGCTAAGTTTATTTCGAATGTGCATTGACAGTCTTACGCTTTGAAAATTATTATAATTTGAGGGTATTTTATAATTATTGTTGGAAAAAATTACTAAATCAGTTTATGGAAATGATTAATTTGGTCTTAGAATAATAGCACTTAAGTATAAATACATTTATATCTATGAATGTTGGGTCGTTTGTTAATTGTTATCTAATTCAAATGGTTAAAAAAAACGTTAACATTAAATTCAGTATTTGAATGTTAATTTAGTTTGGAGAAACTTAAATATTGTTTTAAATATCTGTCGTTAATAATTATACTTAACATTCATATTTAATTTTTCGCTGTTATTTTATAATCATGTCGCAAGAAGAAATGAAACTTAAACTTTATACGTCACAGCGAGAGTATGTTTTTCGTTCTATTCAAACTCTTTTCGATTTATCCACTCAAATACGGGAAGACTCCAGTTCTTCTAAAGTTAGCCAATTTAAATATAGATTTCTTAAAATTGAGAACATTCGTGATGAATATGTGTTGCTTACGGAAAAAATTAATTCGTTAAAACTGGCACTGTTTCCTAAAGGAAAAAATAGATATGCAAGCGTTGTCTGCATTTGATGATATGTACTATGAAGTTCTAAGTTTTGCCGCGGAGATATCCCTACCGGAGCGCAAACGAGGCAGCAGCCCAACGTCCGCTGACGTTAACTACACCTTTACGCCTGACGCGGAAAAAGGTACAAGCTAGACTGCCACAAATTGAGCTTCTGAAGTTCGACGGAAAAATTGAGAATTGGCAAACATTTTACGACACTTTCGTAACGTTAATTCATAATAATAAATCAATCGCGAATATTACTAAATTTCACTATCTCATTTCTTGTTTATCGGGATCCGCTTTAGGGATCGCAAAGAAGGTAAAATTAACCCGATAATTATGAGCTTGTAGTCAATGAACTTATTAAGCGTTATCAAAATAAGCGCATTTTAGCAGTGGCGTATTTAGATCAAATAAATAACTATCCTTATTTAAAAACTCCTAATTTCAATGATTTACAAACATATACTAATATTCTTTGTGAGTCAGTCAATGCCCTTAAGGCCTTAGAGCTAGATGACTTAGGCGATTTTATTTTATTTAACGCAGCGTTTCGCGCACTGGACTCCGATACGCGCCACCGCTTCGAATCTGAAAATAAATCGGAAATTCCTTCTTTTCGAAGTCTTATGCAGTTTCTTCAAAACTATGTAAAAGTTTTAGAAATAAATGCTAATGTTGACATTAGGGCGCGATCTTCTCAATTTTTAGGCGGTAAACAGATCAAGACTGTTTCACCGCGGGCACCGAACCTGAAGCGTTCCGTGCTCACTACTCAGTCTAAGCCTACTAGTTCGAAGCAGCTGGCTTCACTAGAGTGCTATTATTGTGGCGCAGCACACAGTATCTATAAGTGCCCCACTTTTCAATCTTTGGACACCAGTGCTAGAATAAATATTGTCAAACAAAATAATTTATGCATTAACTGTTTACGAAAACATTCTCTTGATAAATGCGTCTCAAAAATGAGATGTTTTATCTGTAGTGGTAATCATCACACTCTGGTACACATCGACAACCAAGTTCGATCACCGACCGCGGTGACCACCGGTTCGAGTAGTGCCCACACTAACACGAGTGCGTTCGTGGGAGAGGCTCGTGGCCCGTGCGTGGTGCTGCTCGGGACGTGCATGGTGCGTGTGCAGGACTCTAGTGGCACGTTCCATCAAGTTAGAGCGCTCATCGATAGCGGCGCTCAGGACTGCTTCATCACCATGAAATGCGCAAAGAGACTTGGTTTTCAATTACGTTGATGCACCACAACTGTGGCTGGACTTGGACAACAGTCTGTGTGTCAAGTCAAGGGAGTGACTCAATGCTCTATACGCCCGTGTGATTCGAATGACCCACAATTTGATATTAATCCTATAGTCATCGATAGCATTACTTCTAAAATGCCAACCACTGATATTCCTCTAGCGGTTCGAGACTGTTATAAACACTTAGTATTAGCGGACCGTGACTTTGACAAACCGTGTGATGTTGATTTATTGCTAGGTGCTGAAGTATTTCATCACATCTATGACGGCCGTGTCATTCAACCAGAGCCCGGCTATCCTGCTGCTTTACATAGCGTCTTTGGTTGGGTTCTCTCAGGACCCACCAATGTGGAGAGTCCGGTAAAATCGGTTGGCACTTCGTTAATTACTTCAACCAATTCATTGGAGAAGATGGTGAAACGATTTTGGGAAGTCGAGGAACCGCCTCATCAACATATACCTGCTCCAGAAGATGAGGAGGTCGAACGCCTGTATTCCACTCAAACTTATAGGGAATCGGACGGTCAATATGTAGTCCCTATCTTATTGACGCAGTCGTCTGTCTATATGGGAGGCTCATATAATAGTTCTTTGTCGCAGTTTATAAATCTTGAGAAAAAACTTTGCCGACAACCAGATCTTAAATCACTTTATAACGATTTTATGCGTGATTATGAGCAGCTTAATCATATGCAACCAGTGGGAAAGGATATTACCCCTGGTAGATATTTCATTCCTCACCATTGTGTGATTCGTCCAGAAAGCATAACGACCAAACTTCGCGTTGTATTCAATGCGAGTCACAAGACGACTAATGGACTATCTTTAAATGATATTGTTTACACTGGACCGAAGTTACAGGCTGATTCGGTTGACATTATTACTGGATTTCGGGTCCATAATATAGTTTTTACATGTGACATATCTAAGATGTACAGGCAAATCTTGATAAGGCCTGAGGATCGAGTGTGGCAACACGTACTATGGCGTGAATCCCCTTCCTTGCCTGTTCAAGAATTTGAACTTCGTACGGTCACATACGGAGTCAAAAGTTCGCCGTACTTAGCGATACGAACATTACATCAGTTAGCTGCAGATCACGGTGATCAGTTTCCTCATGCAGCTGAAGCTCTTCGGCATCATACTTACATGGACGATATTACTACAGGTGCTTCCTCAGTCGAAGCAGCCTCTCAGCTTAAAGAAGATTTAATCAATCTTCTTAATTGTGCTCAGCTAGATTTGCGTAAGTGGAGCAGTAACAGCCCTTTATTTCTTCGATCGTTACCCATGGAACATTGTCAGTGTCCGAAGACATTTTCTGATGATAGTTCGATAACGCTTAAGGTAATAGGAGTTCAATGGGATCCTGCGGAAGACTATTTCACTTACTCCGTCTCTCCTGTGAATGTGGAGTTTACGAAACGTTCAATCCTGTCCCACGTTGCTCGTATTTATGATCCATTGGGTTGGCTTTCACCTTTTATTCTTTTAGCCAAACTACTTCTTCAAAACTTATGGCGTATTGGATTGTCTTGGGATGAAATCATTCCCGCCAATCTGTGTGACGATTGGGTTTCATTTGTGTCTGACTTGTCTAATATAAAATCGATAAAAATCCCTCGTAAAACCGTGATTGATTTAACAGCTACACACCAGCTGATTGGGTTTTGCGATGGATCAACCAAAGCATATGGGTGCTGTGTCTATCTCCGATCAAGTATCGATGATCAAAAACAAGTTTCTCTTTTGATTTCTAAATCTAAAGTGGCTCCGATTAAGCCTCTAACAGTTAATTGTTTGGAGTTGTGCGGTGCGCTCTTGTTATCACGTACCCTCAAACACATGCAAACTTTACTTATTTCGAAAATAAATATATCTCATATTGTTGCCTACACTGATAGCTCAACTGTATTAGCTTGGATCAATACAGAGCCATACAAATTGAAACCTTTTGTTGCGCATCGAGTAGTTAAAATAACTGACGCAGTTGAACCTTCTACCTGGAGGCATGTCTCGACTCAGGACAATCCTGCTGACTTTCCTAGCCG